ATTATAAAAGAAATTAGAGACAAAATTTTTATTTCATTTTTGTATTTTCTACTGTATGATCTACTATAGAGTTGAGAAGGCATATGTTAATCAGAAAAAATTGGAAAGTGAAGCTAAGCTATTACAAGCACATGTAGGTAAGGTTAATATGCTTAAATTCATATTATCTAAAAAATACAATTTCAAATATTTTACACTTGTTGCACAACTCAAAGTTCTTCGATAGAACTTGAGTACACAAGTCTTATAATGTTGTTGTTGTTCAGTTGATTTTATTCATGCATTAATATATGATATTTTTATCAAAATGCTTTTGTTTTATTAGGTCATTTTTCAAAGCAAACCTCCCTATGGCTACAAATGGTAGAGAATTTCAATCAATCATTAAAGGTAGACATTTCAAGAGAGTATGAATTCCAAARCTGTGACCTTGAAATATTTTTACTGGAATGTTATTGTCCATTGACTAAGATAAAGGAAGATTAACCATCATCTGAGTGCATTTTCACAAATTTGATTTAATAGTTTTAATATTGCCGGAATTGATCTTATTCTGAAATTTAAATTCCCAAATTAGTAGTAAAATTTCAGTGCTCAGAATAAAATAATGTAATGATTAACAAATTGTGCATGGTTTTGAGTTGCATGATCTCTTATTGATATACTCTTGATGTCATAAAATGTTAAGAACACAAGTGGACCCAAGAGTACAGCTTTTTATCCTGCATGTTATTGTGTGAATGTCATTAGAAGTCATTTCATAAGTAGGTATAATTCTGCCTGGTCACAGCTTTATAATTAAAGTCACATACTAATGATRGGGTGGATGCACTAAATCTGTTAATGAGGAATTTAGTACCTATTTTGTATTGTTTTTATTTTTTTAGGAACTTGGTGATGTAGAGAATTGGTCCAGGGTTATTGAAGCAGATATGACATCAATAGCTAGTGCACTAGAGTATGCTTACAAAGGTATGGAATATCTTGAAATAATATGGTATATTTAAAGTATARCACTTACTATTGCAAAAGAAGAAAGAATGAAATGTGGTGTCTTCTATAGGAAATACAATGTAAGAGTTTTTACTTACTCAAAAGTGAAGTACTTTTATCCACCTCAGTCAATACTGTCTTAACATTAAAGTTGATAATATTTTAAAAGAACCTTTGAATGTTGAGTCATTTAGGGGTAATGGGACTGGAGAATTATGAGGACATCTTTCTGGGGCTATTAATGATATTTCACAACATAGCAAAGTTGAGTATGAACAATGATCATTATTATTTATGTTTTCATTTTTTTTTCAGGTGATGGTCCTAGCAGTAGTTAGTATTAAAAGATATTAGAATACTTTTAACCCAGGAACTCGTAGTTGTTCATACAGTCCTATATTTTCTGTAATAATATTATTTTTTGGTTGGTTAGAGAGAAAGAAATTTCCAAAATGGTAAGAGCAT